CCCGCAGTCCGGACCCGCAGTCCGGAAGCGCATCCAAGCCCGCAGTCCGGACCCGCAGTCCGGAAGCGCATCCAAGCCCGCAGTCCGGACCCGCAGTCCGGAAGCGCATCCAGATCGCCAGTCCAGGCCCACATTCGGGCCCAGAGCCCAGAACCCCAGTCCACACCCGAACTCGGACCTGCGGTCCGACCTACATTCCTCGCCCCCAGTCCCGATCCGTGGTCCAGACCCACATCCAGGACACTCCACCTTCTAGGGCCACAGACACGCCCGCCCTCTCGCAGACACCGAGCCTTCCTCGCACCGCAAGGCCTCGCCCGCACCCAGCCTCACCACGCAGCCGCTGTCAGTCTCTGCCATCGGGGCGTCCATGTTCCGTCTTTCCGCCGCCTTCCAGGCCACCTCGTGTGCAGACACGCTCGGTGCCACGGGCCTGTGACGCCGCCTCCCAGGACAGCGCAGCCCCTTGCACCCACTTGGCTTCCGCCCTCCTTCCACACTGGCGGCCTTCCTGTCACTCGCACCGACAACTTCTCGCACACAAATCGAGTTGCACAAATACGCTCGCGCACAGCCCTGCCCTGGGGCTCTTGGTGACCTGGCCAGGCCAGCTGATGCCCACACCCCCAGGCAAGGACAGCTCTCTCCCCCTCGTGCCCCCTCCTCCCCCACAGGGCCAAGGCCTGCCAGAGCTGCCCAGGCCCCAGGAAGGAGTGTCCCCCCCTTCCAGGCCACAGCCCTGGCCAGCGCTCAGCTCTATTTTTAGCTCTTTGGAAAGGGTTGTTTTTCTTTCTTTTTCCCTGGAAAGGGAAACATTGCCCAACCACCCGCGGCTCATCCCGGACCCTCGGGCTCCCAAGGAAAGACTGAGCCCCCGTCCCCAGCAGAGACCCTCCTCTGGCCTCGCCCTGATCCCGGCCTCCTGGGGCGCGAAGAGCCGCCTCCCCTTGCTGGCAGGCTGCCCGGCTCAGGCAGCAGCTGGGCCGGCGTGCGCGGTGGGGGTGGGGCAGGCAGGGCAGCACGGAGCCGCTGCCCCCTCACGCCCGGGGGGAGGGGCCCGTCCTCCCGCCCACGGG